TGTAATGTTAAGTGCTTGGGTTACCTGTGTAAATAGTTAGGTATAAATAGGACTGTAGATTTGATAATAGAGGTCGGCCATCTTCGTTTTGAACTAATGCAATAGTAACTTATTACATCTGTAAGAGCAAATGCAGGTAACATTCATTCATTTGATGCACTTAATGACCAGGAAAATGCAGATATGCAAGGTGAAATGGAACATGACTTTCACAATGAATCATTTAATGAACAACCAGCATCACATCTTGGCCCAGTACAAAACAATCCAAATCCTGGCGCAATCAGTTCTTACAACCAACCAACTGAAATATCTGATGATGTATTGCATAAGAATATCAGATCTTTAAATACTGAGCAAGGTCATGCTTATGATACATTCCTCACTTGGTGTTGCAGTAAAATGAAAAACTTGAACAGCTTGAAACCTGTGGAAATAGAACCAATCTACCTATTTATAACTGGAGGTGGTGGTGCTGGCAAGAGTCATTTAATTAAAACTATTTACCACACAGCAGTTAAGACATTTAGACATCCACCAATTAACCCTGAATTACCAACAGTACTTCTTATGGCACCAATAAAAATTGATGGTAACACAATTAATACTGCTTTAGCTATTCCTAAAGAAACTGGTGATAATTTACCTGCTATGTCGGACCAAAAGAAGACTCAGTTAAGACTTGCACTAGTTGACCTCAAAGTTATCATTATTGATGAAATATCTATGGTTGGAAATACAACTTTACTTCATGTCCATCAGAGATTAAAGGAAATATTTGGCACTCCAAGTTAATTGTTATTTGCAGGAATGTCCATCATTGTTGTTGGTGATCTCTGTCAACTTCCACCAATACGTAAGAGATTTATATTTGACGAATACAAAAATGATCTTCTTAACCTAATGCATCCATGGAAAGTATTTAAAATGGTGGAACTGACACAAATTATGAGGCATAAAGATGATCAATTATTCATTGAACTTCTCAATCGTGTTCGAACTGCCACACAAACTGAAGATGATATGAACATTATTAACTCAAGATGTATTACTCCAGATGATCCTAACTATCCTTCAGATGCACTTCATATCTGGGCTGAAAACGCACCAGTTGATGGTCATAATAGAAACAAACTTGAAGAACTCCCTGGATCATTATATATTCTTAGAGCTAAAGATCAATATCCACCTAATAATAATAATAATAATATAGTCATTTAAATATAGCGCTTAAATTATGTTAAAAATATTCTAAAGCGCTGTACAATTAAAAGTTACAGTTATAAATATGCTCTAAAACCATTCTAAAATTATCCTACTAGAAATTAACACGATATTTACACTTAATAGGAAGTTTGTCTATTCAAATGCCTTCCTAAATAAAAATGTTTTTAATTGAGTTTTAAAGGAATTAATTGTTTCACACTGTCTAATTTGAAGTGGAAGAGAATTCCATATGAGAGGGGCAGCGTATTTAAATGATCTGTCCCCAAGAGTTTTTGCATTAGTTTTCGGGATATTTAACAAGGAACAATTATCCGACCTTAAATGGTATTTGCTTTCAGGCTTATACGACAGTAGATCAACAATGTACTGAGGTGCCATTCCGTTAAGGGCTTTGTAAACCAGTAATGCAATCTTGAAGTCAACTCGAAACTTTATTGGCAACCAATGAAGATTCATTAGAACCGGAGTGATATGAGCAGATCTTGGTGTAAAACATATCATTCTTGCAGCCGCATTAAGAACTCTTTGTAAACGCTGATACTGGTACTGTGGAATCCCAAACAAGAGCGAATTACAGTAGTCTAAATGTGAGGTTATAAATGCATGCACAAGAATTTTAGTTGTCTCCTGAGAAAGAAACTTCCTTATTTGTCTGATGTTATATAATCCTCTAAAAGCTTTGCTGCAAACCTTCCCGACGTGAACATCCATCGACATGTTTTTATCAAACCAGATACCTAAATCCCGAACACTTTCAGCAGGTTTAATATCCACGTCCCCTACTTGTACAGAGTTAATTTCAATCTTCTTCAACTGCTGACGAGTGCCGATTATTAAGAATTCTGTCTTGAGATCATTAAATTTTAATTTTTGAGAAACCAGCCAAGCGCGGACATCAGTTATACATGCTTCAATAGCCCGAACTGCATCATTTTGACAAACAGGCGACTCAGGACAAAAGGACAAGTACAGCTGGGTATCATCAGCGTATCCGTGTGAAGATGGTAAATGCTTTCCAATAATTTCAAATAGTTTCGACACATACAGTAAAAATAGAATCGGTCCGAGACAGCTTCCTTGCGGAACACCACAGGTCATGGGAAAACTATCTGAGAGTACTTGGTTTATTGAAACAAACTGTTTTCTGTCCGATAGAAAAGATTTTATCCATCCAAGCGCAGTACCGCCGACACCAAAATTTGATTTTAATATTTCTAACATGATCTCGTGCTCTACCGTATCAAAGGCCGCGCTTAAGTCGAGTAGTACAAGTAGCGTGACTTCTTGTTGATCCATGCTCATAAGAATGTCACTTTGAACTTTAATAAGAGCTGTTTCTACTGAGTGAAAAGGGCGATAAGCTGATTGATTAATAGGAAGTGGTGCATTTTCTTCGCAATGGTTAACTATTTGACCAACAACAGCCTTTTCAGCAATTTTTGAAACAAATGAGAGGTTACTCACAGGTCGAAAATTCTCAAATAAAGCCTCAAGACCAAGTTTCTTCAATATAGGTACCAGAAGAGCAACTTTCCATGCTTCAGGAACATAACCATGATGCAATGACATATTAATAATTTTTGTTATTACAGATTTCAGTTCATCAACGCATAATTTCACTAACCAGGTTGGAATTGGATCTAATTTGCAAGTAGCCTTTGATGATTTCATAATAATGTCGCAAATTTCTTCCTCTGTTAACTGACGAAATGATGTAAATTCAGCTGCAGGTGGCCAATATTCAACAGATGGAGGTTGTACTGCGATGCTATCGATTTCGGTTCTAATTAGTTCAATCTTTCGATGAAAAAACTCGCCAAACTCATTCACAAGCTGACCCAAATCAGTATGCGGAGGCAGGGAATTTTCATTGGGAACTTTGGAAAGAGAAGACACCACCTTAAAAAGTTTTCTTGAGTCACCTGAGCACTGGTCAATGAGTTCAGAATAATATAATCGCTTGCCCATCCTCAATTTAGCAGAATATTTATTACAGGCAGCACGATACAGTGACCTGTCACATTCACAGTTCGACTTTAACATTTTCCTCTCTAATTTTCTGCGATTTACTTTCAGACGTTTAAGTTCGTCACTGAACCATGGTAGTTTTGTTCTCTCGATTATTACCTTTCTTTTAACGGGAGCATGCTTCTCTAAAATATTAGACAAGGTTTCATCATAACTTTGCATCAAGTCATTCAAGTTATCCCAAGTTTGATTACATAGATTAGATGCAGCAATGTCAGATTTGAACGCATCTATGTTAATTTGTCGCATTTTACGATATTGAATTTCCTTCGGTTTAGGATTGGGACGAGGCACAGACAAACTGCATTCGACAAAGCAGTGATCGGATAGGAAATAAGAAGGCTGAACTTTGCTAATCATAATATCGCTTGACGATCTCGTAACAATAAGATCCAGTATGTGATTGTGTACGGAAACAAGATATTGACACAGTGTTAACCAGAGGGCGATCTGAGATCTAATGTACGGAAACAAGATATTGACACAGTGTTAACCAGAGGGCGATCTGAGACAGGTGGACTTGATTATGAGATTCACATCAAAGAAGGTGCTAGGGTGATGTTAACCACAAATATTTGTATTGCTGACAGACTTATTAATGGACAAATGGGTACTGTTGTGAGGGCACATGTCAATGAAACTGGCGTTCCAACTCTACTGTACATACAATTTGATGATGTAAATGCTGGTAAAGACTTAATATACACCAAAGGAAGCCATTTTGCAAAGGAGAACCATGTTGTGCATATTGAACCAGTGCTAGCAAAGATCAAAATAAGACCAGGTAAACCCTCCTCTCCTGAAATACAGAGAGTTCAATTTCCTATAACACTTGCTTGGGCATGTACAGTGCATAAAGTTCAAGGTTTAACACTTCACCAAGTTGTACTAAGCACAGAATTAGTTAGACAACGATCATTCAACTATGGTCAGATTTATGTTGCATTGAGTCGTGCTACATCCTTGAATGAATTATACATCTTAGGCCAAGTAGAGAGTAAACATATTAAAACAAATCCTAAAGTTTTAACAGAATATCAAAGGCTTCACACTGACTATTTAAACCTAGTCTCCAATGAAGATGTCAATAACAGTCACGTTGTTACTATATCGCTACTTAATGTTAGGTCTGTTAGAAAACACAGTAAATTGACATGATTCAAGACTATTCAAAAGTGATGTTCTAGCCTTCACGGAAACTCAACTTTTACATCCGGAATCTCATGCTGAAATTATAAATAACCTCCACCCTTTCACTGTGTACCGTTAAGACCATAGTACTGACAGATATTCTAGTATCGCATTATGCACAAAAGATACAGTAGAAATAACAAATCATGAATACTTTCCATCAATAAATGCATTAAAATTTGACTTAATTATCGAAACAAATCACAAACCAAAAACATGCTAACTATAGTATATAATCGCCCGACATGTGACAAGGAAGCCGAAAGGACCGTGGCCGTGCATAAACATGCTCAACATAGAAAATGAGTTTTATTGAATTTAAACGAGTTTCCGAACCATCTACTACAAAAACTGTGAAGTGATATCTCAGTCCCTCAGTCCGAAAATCAGTTGGATTGTTTCATTCAGAAGAATAAACGCAAAGGAATGTTACTAAAACAAATTTACTATTTGTAAACACAAACCCATAATACATAATTTCCTTCACTGAATATCTGGTCAAACTGTTATATGCATCGTCACTATTGTTATAACTTCTGTACTCTTTACTACAGGTTGAGTCAGGGAAGGTCTACAGTCTCACAAACGCGCCAGTTCGCTTATTTAATGGAAAGAAACAGCTCACATCCACCAAAAATTCCAATTTTCGAGAAATCCAGGACGAGGAAATGGCAAAACTTGAAGACGGTGAAGCAAAAAAAAGGCTAGATGAAATCAGCAAAGTGAAGTACTTTACCATCCAACGAGTCAAAGTAATAGAGAATATTGACCGCTTCCTCAAGTGCAAACGGATTGAGTACCAAAAGAAACTCCAAGTCAGCGTTCATGGCGAATCAATCATGTGTAACAGCTGTCACTGTTGAATGCGCGTTTCAGACTGTCCAAAATCCATTTCTGTCCGACTAGCAGTTATGGGGGATGATCATGAAACGGCAATATTGTGTTGGCAAACAAGTGTTGGCAAAAGTCATCCAAGCCCCAGCGGATCAAGATGATAACCAGTTAAGTGACAGCATCTTGGACCTCTCCCACCTGTCCATAAAATACAACAGGAGGAACATAATAGAAGAGATCACTGTTGTTGGCGAGGGTGGTGAGAACTCCGGACAAACTCCGAAGGCGGATGTCCTTTCAGCCAGCGAGCATTGACGACATGACCAAAGTTGGTTGAAACGCGTGCCTCTATCCGCATTGACATGATTTGTTGTTGTTTGGTTCTGTACCTTTACCTTATTTAGTTGCTTTGCTGTAGAATAAAGTAAAATTTTGGATCTATAATTCTCATATTCAGTTTGTAGCATAACTTGTCTCGAAAAAGTTAAACCGATACAACTGATTAGATTCTGCTTAGGCACTGAATACAATTGATGTTTATAGTGTTGTTTATTGTACAGACCAAAGACCTTCAATCGGGGTCTTTTCTATATTTATATACCATTTATTTGTACAGCAATTGCTAGTATTTGCTGGAGTTCATGGTATTTTTGTGTATTAAATTCAGAGTATAGTATAATACATCATTTAGAAACAAGCATCACTGAAGTCACTGAAGCTCAGCTCTCTCCTCCGCAGAGGCTGTTAGATACCAGAATTATTAAAAATAATACATGTGCAGGCGTATTACCTGGAAATGTGTAGGCGCGCAGGCTTCGCGCGGGGTATCAAGGGAAGGGGGGAAAAAATGAAGCCTCTGCCAGATTTTGTTTTCAATATGGCGCCAAAATTCCGTGAGGGAGTGGGGCAAACTCAGAATCATCTTCTAATTTAATAGTCAAAATGGAGCCGGAAGGATTAATTTCTGATATTTGCATATCAAATAGACCATTTCAAAACGCCCACCAACATTCCAAAACTATCTGTTTATTGTGCTACGAAGGTCATGGCGTTGAGGCTGGTACTGTGAATTTCTTTCTTGCCGAGAGTGGGATTATACAGCATTTTCGAAGCATGCACCGTAGCATTGCTGTTGACGATGAAATGCAGAGGAAGTGCAAGGAACTTTTCGAACAACTGCATGGGCAAGAGACTGCCAAGGTTGTAGAGCAATTATCTGCCCTTCGTTTACAGCAGCAGAAGGTTAGTTCTATGTATGCTATTACTTATAAAGATAAAATTTACTTCATGAATTCCAATATATTATTGAACACTATTTAAGTTTTAATATAAAGATGTTAACTTTATGAAATTATCATTTAATTTAATAAGTTTTACATGACACTGAAAATATTCAATTTATTTTATTTATGTCTAGGATAACAGTGCATCCCATTGTTATTCTATGTTTACTGTAACATATGAGACCAATCAGACAGTGTCAAGCGAAGCATCGATGGATATTGTGGCAAGAAATGAACGAGAAGCGACAAAATTATATGGCTTGGTACTAAAAGATCAAGGGATCCTAAAGCCTCTGGGATGTGTGCCTTGTATAATCACTGTGAAACCATACAAATGCGACAAACGAGGACAGTCGTATAAAGTCTGGGGCAATGATGATAAAATATATGTTGAATGTTTCATACCTGGCAATAAGGTGAGTATGTAAATAATAAATGAATAATAAAGTATGGGCACATTTGGGCCCAAAGGTTTAACAATACCACCTGCCAATGACATTGTAAACTTGCAATATTATCTACTTCGATCATTATGCTGCAGTTTGCAAATTTACTGTCACACCAGGTCAGATGATAAAAGATCCTGGCACCTTAACAGGTTATAATCATGAAGTGGCAAGACTCTCCCTTTGACAAGCAATTGAAATGGGCAGATTAATTTGTTAAAGAGGTTATAACCTACCTGGCATTATAGCAATGTAAAACAACAAACAATGATGCTTCAGTTGATTAATAAGTACACCAGTTAATAATTTTACACCTGTCGATTAATGTAAATCGATATATTTTATGTAGATGAATTTACTCAACAGTGACAGAACTCAACCACTCCAGCAACCACAACCAGTTATGGCAAATTCAGTTGGAAAGTTTAGTCTTTTTAAAACCCCACTGGAAGTTTTGAGATCTGTTTTTGGATATGAAGACTTTCGGCCCAAACAACTTGAATCGATTGAACACATTGTCTCGGGAGAGGATGTTATTGTTGTTATGCCAACTGGAGGTGGGAAAACAGTCATTTATGCAATACCAAGTCTGATTTTGCCAGGTATTATCATTAACACTTTCTTAATATGCTGAATTTCACTAACCATGTTGAAGACTTTGTGTCAGTTGTAAGTAAAATATCTATTGCTGCAGCATGTTAATGTACAATTTATTAACTTGCTCTTTTAATTTTTAACAGGATGTAACTAAAAAGTAAATGCTTTGAAATTAGCATTTTTTCAAACAACAACCCATTGTACCCTATCTGGATTAATTGTTCACAGTGTGGAACACACTATATACTGTTCAGGGTGTACCAATAAAGTTAGGCTGTTTGAAAGAGTTAACTATGGTATTCAATTTCAAATGGTTTCCTTTCTTTGGGACACCCTCACCCTGTACATTTCTAACATATTGTATAAGTTGTATGAGTTAGGTTATAAAGACTACTTCCAGAGAGAGTGTTTAATAGAGAACCAGAACATACAATAAAGTACAAAAACTCAACAAGCTTTGCTAGTAAATGTAAAAAGGTTTAATCTATCTTTACTTGAAATATTCTTTTTTACTACTACTACTTCTAGGTATGGCTGTGGTTATATGTCCTTTAATGATGCTAATGTGTGACCAGGTGGCCAGACTACGACGTCTTGGTATTAATGCTTGTTACTATAATACAATGCTAAGTGACAATGAACGACAAAACATTATTCACAACCTTGTGCAACCAGATTGTCAATATCAGTTTGTGTTTATAAGTCCAGAAGCTGCCACAAGTTCTCAGTTTCAAAGCTGTTTACACAACTTATCTCAAAAGAAAAAAATTAACCTATTTATAATTGATGAAGCACATTGTGTGGACACATGGGGGTGCAACTTTCGCCCAGCTTATCAGCAGTTGGGTATCCTGAAGAATTATGGTGTACCAATTGTTGCTCTCACTGCAACAGCAACAAATAAAACATTAGTGACAATTGCTGAAGTACTACGTATGCCAAAGCACACTGTTGTGAAAATGAGTTGTAGACGAAATAATTTATCATTTTCTGTCATTCCAAAGAAAGAAACTAAAGCAAAGAATCAAGTGTGTGAATTGATCTTGGGGGAATTTAACAATTCATGTGGTATAATTTATTGTGCAAGACAAGCTGATGCTGTTGAAATGGCTTTTGAACTGAAGAGTCATGGTATTTCTGCTACATTTTACCATGCAGGAATGGACAGCAGAGATCGAATGGCAAATGCTACCTTGTGGCTAGAAGATAAAGTGCATGTGATTTGTTGCACTAATGCATTTGGGATGGGTATAGATAAAAAAGGTGTTCGATTTGTGATACATTTGACGATGCCTTCATCATTGGAAGATTTTGCACAAGAACTGGAAGGGGTGGTCGTGATGGTTATACATGTACATGTGTGTTGCTTTTCCGTTTCGAGGACAGATCATTCCACCTTCGCAACATCTCTCTTACAGCTACAAGTTCTGCCAAGCTTTTGCAACTGAATAGCATAACAGAATTTTGCCTCCAAGACCAACAGTGTAGACAAGAATTCTGGCCAATTATTTCCAAGAACCTTCAGGGGAACCTTGCAATACTTGTGACATTTGCCAAAAGTGCATGTCTTATGAACAGCAGAAAAGTGATTGCACAATACATGCAATAAGTGTTATCCAATGCCTCACCAGTTTAATTGTTTTGCAACCAAAAGTTAAACTTTCTGAATTAGTTATGACTTATATGGGGTCAAGAGCCAAAGAGATGTGACTAAGAATTTTCATACTGTTTCACAGTATAAAAAAGGCAAAGGCGACTTTGGAAACATGTCCAACATGAGAAGATTTATACAACACTTGATTCACCAAGGATTTATAAATGAGAATGTAAGAGAAACAGAAGACATTATGTCAGTAACATACCTAACATGTGCAAATGTTACTGATTTAACAAATGGTAGATGCAAAGTCTTATATAATAAGACTAGGTGAGAGTAGGAAAATGGAGAAATTTTAGGAAGAAACATTGTTAATCTGTTGGTATAGTCGAGGTATGGTACAAGGCAGGGGAGGGGGGGCTGGCAATTTCATCCTAAAATGAAATGCTTATATTTTTAACCCTATTGTGCACGAACTGCGAGTAAATACCCGACATGAAAACGAGACCACTGGGTGAAAAGTGAATAATCGGTAAAGTCTATCAGACACAATCCATATCATGGAATGAAAGCATATTTTTAAAACATGATGCACCTTCAGTCACTGCACTTTAAATTTTAAAACATGATGCACTTTAAATTTATTGGGAGGCTATTCCATTTGGCCCCACTATACGCTAATGTTTGTTTCAAATATTCTGTTTCAAACATCCGGTTAAATATTTCCCAAATTATATGAAGTTTGGTATTCGTTCTTTATTAAACAGATTTTTAATAAAAGAGATTCGCAGCGGTGTGGCCATTTAATATCTTATAAATTAAAAGTGCTTTGTTTTGAGAGCGTCTTTTGTCAAGTTTGTCCCACCCCAAGCTTTCTAAAACATCTACGGATGGAATATCGTAGTTTGATCATGTCTGTTATGTAAAATAACTCAACAGAATATAGTTTTTGATTTTCGGAAAGATGGTGTGTTTTTGAGCGAGTTTAAGAGCGATAGTTATTTCATGTTAATCACTTAGGACAGAATATCATACCGTAAATCAGGGAAGCACTCGTACAATTTTGCCGTAAAACGCTCACCGATCTTCTTCTTTCCCTTTTCAACAACATTTAACACGTTTTGCGGTACCTTGCCAAATGCACAGCCCTTCTGGTCAAGTGGATAACATTCTACTTCTTTTCGGTTGGCATTCTTGAAGAAACCTTTTTGTAAACAAAACCAAGCCCCTTTGACTTGATCAGGCAAAGGTGTTTGCTCGGAATGACGTGACGTGGTGAATGTCAAATCCCTCCTTTCCCATGTAAGATCCTCTCACATACTTCAGAAGATCTATATTGGCCATGATTCTCCTGCACATAGTAACAGTTGTATGACCAGTTGTATAGTTCTTTAACGGCTGAACTACCTCAGATTCAACGAAAGCATCTAACTCGATACCATGGCCTTCCTTTCCACTGAGGTTTACTGAACAATTCTGTTGCAACAATTCTGGTTGCTAACGGCCATTTGACGAGGAAATTGATCACATGTCGTAAAACTTCAGTGGAGTAATTAGTGAAGCCAAGCTGAGTATAAATGGGTATTTGCAACTGGAACACAATTTCGCGGGCGTTTCCATCACCATACGATGTGGCGAGATCATACAACATTTGAAGTGGGCCGTATAATAAGAATGCACTAGCTCTGTGTTGGAAAGCAAGATCCGACGATGATTCTGAAATCCACTCTTTAAACCTGGCAAGGATCAATGACGTAAAATGTTCTGTGTCAAACGGTTCACTCTGTTCAGGAAAATAACTGCTTTCTACAAATTCAATACTGCAGCCATTCCATATGCCTTGCATACGTCACGTATCGCTTCTCTAATATGAATAAGATACCTTCTTGAAACTTTTTTTCTTAAACGCATGCACCGTTAATTTCTTCTCTTCATGATCTCGCATAAAATGTAGTGCAGACCACTGGATCCGTGAACTTTAAACACTGCCTCGCAATAGTAACCTTTGTTATGTAGGTCACCAGGACAATACCAATCCACCTGTAAGCAGCAGACCGTGTCATAGCCGCGTTGTTAGTTTTACATGTACCTACATCCCCAACAACTGGAGTTACAAAGCCATGGCAGGAACGATTTATGTCGCTGTCATTGTTTTCAGTTGACAATGTTGAGTCGCAATTATCCGTTTCCTTTATACATAACCCAGCAGTTTGGCGAATTAGTCGATCTTCATCTTCTGATAGATCTTGATCTTCGTTAAATAGTTCCTTAATTTGTTCAATATTTAAGGTATCAGCCATGTACATAGGAGATGGGATGCTTGTAAACAGTGGCCCACTGTGTTTTGCCCCCGATTCAAGAAGGAATTTACACAAACTGACATTCTTGTGCAAGACAGCGAGATTGAGAGGTGTCATTCCACAACCTTCTTTGGAATTGACATTAATACCCATATCGACGAAACATTTTACAAGATTTTCTTGTCCTTGCTCAACAGCGGCGTGCAATAGACTTCTTCTTAAATGGTCTTTAATGTTCAAGATATGCTTATCATAACTGTTAACAAACTGCAAGTAATTCTCTTCACTGTTGATGTTGATATATCTGACAACTTTGAACAAATACGGTTATACGTGTCCCAAAATGGCTTATCTTCATTATCAAATTGGCGCCGTTCACTCTGCAAAGTTGTTTCAGTAAATGAAGGATCGGTGGATTCTTGTTGGCTTGAAGTTTCTTCGTCTTGTTCCGTGCAATCTTCATTTGCATTAGCAAGTTCCTTCTCCTTTGAATGTAAATGGATTTCTAACGCTCATCATAGCTTTGGTGGTTCTGTTGGCTGAGAATTATTTCGTAGTGGTTTCTTGCCAATTTAACATCAAATGTTTTGGAAATAGAATCAAAAGGGATATATTGAGAGCCTTTCTTGTCATTAGGTAGAGAGAAATCTGTGGCAAGTTGATCCAGAATGCTCATTGTTCCAACAATTGTGCTGTTGTTTCAAGTGACAAAGGAAGAACATGTACATCGCTTTTGTGATTCAAATTGCCCTGTTTCACAAGTTTACTTTGATTGGGAATGTCTATATTGTACTTTGTAGTAGATGTTTCAAAGTCCGACTTGGCCAGGTAATAATTTACTTGCTGCTCGGTCATATCTTTTAGCTTTTTCTCACTAACAGGGATTCTGTTTAATGCAGTATCGAGTAAGTCTAGAAGATACCAGTCAACAGCTTGTGTAAACAGCTCTTTCTTCTCCTGGTCATTTTCAATAAATAACTGTTCTGCATTCATTTCTAGCGCTGACCTTTGTGGCTCTACGCAATCATGTTTGTTATGTAGAATCTCTCTAAACCCTCGGTATTCGGTACGAGAACTGCTTGACATGTAAAGTTCCACATCACAGGCCCAGCAGATTTAAATAGACGTAAGTGTTTGTGTTGCCCCTGTACATATTCACATTGTCAAACATAAGGATAACAGGCTTCTCAAGTGGTGTCATCTGCTTGATTGCCTCTTGCTGTTTAGCTTTACGACTGTCAAAAAAGCTCATTGCTTTATCCCAGCTAACGGTTAGGCCTAACTTATTCAGAGTTGTAATAAACCGGAGTCCAGCTCCAAACGAAATGCAGAGGCAAGTGAACATGATTTTAAGATCGTTTTTAATTTTCTGACTTCTTAAACTGATCAACAAAGCTAAGGAGTGCACAGCACTTTTTACACGCTTCTCTGATACATTTCTACCATCCGTTTTATGGAGAAATAGTGCGTCCAGCACATCAAAAAGAATTGGACAATTCTCTCGCACTTTGTTAGGCAATACCGTAAACATATTCTGAAAATTGATTACTTCCAAACTCTCAGTTCAAGGCCAATGTTGAGAAATGTAGTGAAGGTTTCTAGTTCATTGTTAAGTTTTCTTTATCTTTGAACATATGGCATTGGAATGGGACGGAGAATCTATAGCCGCTGTATTTCACGATCATATAACCTGTCTAGATCACTTGACAGTTGCCTAACTTTCAACTGCAATTTCCGTTGCATGTCAACCAAAATTTGAATAACATCTTTCTTTATTTCATCAGCGGCTACTTGACAAGCAATACGTTGAGTCACTTCATCTAGTTCACTTGAAACGCTAGCAATGACTAGCTTTAAGTTAGCAATATCTGTATTATCTTCTGATAACGTGGCTGATGAGTGACTACAAGATGACGTAAAAGCATGTTTCTTTGAGACACCAGCATAAACTGTCGCACGCTCTTTCCCCTTTCTTCTAACGAATGATTTGGGGAACGCCTGCCTTACAGCATTGGTTGCCTGAGCTTTATATGCTTCGTCCAATTGCAGTACTTCCAGAATTATTTGTTGTGGTATTTCAGAATTTTCTTCTTCTTCAAAGTGCTCTAGAAGACGTTTCACGTAATTGTCTCTCCTGTCTTTATAAAAATTACTGGTAGGTTCGCTGTGCCAACTTTCGAGTTCACAGTTTCTTTCCCTACACATTTATGTAAATTAAAGACAACAAATATAAGGAAATGAAAACAAATAACAATGTAATTTTCATCATGAAAATAGAAGCAATATTTCTATAATGGTTTAAATGTGGTCATTACTTTATACTACAACTCTCTGAAAAAACAAAGATACAGTACAGATATATTGTTCAACTCTATAGCATATACTATGTACATGCATTATAAATGAAAAACAGAAAATATCAGAAATAAGCATATTGAAGTTTTCAAACAACATGTACAGTACATCCTTTAGGAGAAATAATTTTGCAGCCCTAGAAATTTATCGACATATGTAGTAAGTGCAATCTCTGTTCAGCAAAAATCATGGTGGT